AAAATATTACAAGTAAATGATACAAATCAACCTGCTCACAGTAAACACCTCATATTTTTTAACTTTAGCTTTTGCTGTGTGTAAGAGGGGGAAATGTAGTCATATGGCATATTTTCACTTAGAAAACTAAAACTGATTTCAAACAGGTGCTATCTCTGAAATACTAAAAACATTTCCTTGTTAAGTTGCTATTATGCTTTCAGAAACCATTTAACTTTAAGAACTGAATATCCTTAACAAAATCTAGAGCATGTATCATCTTACACAGAGTTTTTCCATTTCCCATCCTCAATGCAAGTTATTGCACCTACATTACATATTCACAGGCAACTCTTCATAAGGTGGACGTCCTTTATGCTTGGGTCCCCTTTTAGCACTACGTGTACTGCATGTCCTGCACCATTCTTCAACATCTCGCCTCATACCTATCCAATAAAATCTTTGTCGTAGGTGACTCAATGTTTTCTTAATTCCGAGATATCCTCCTGTTAAATGATCAAGTCCAGATTGAAGATACAAAGTTAGATCAATTCCATTTGGTAAGAAAGTCAGCCAGATGTGTAGGTTGTAAGAGGATCATAACTGTCAAGTTACAACCATACTCTTCATGAACTACGTTTGGAGACAGTGTCAAAACGATCAACATTGTAAAGCAACATTCATACACACTTGGTAAGTGACCGTAGAATAAGTATATTTCACACCTGTAAATTTCTCACTCTATATGCTCCATTGGGTCACTGCTTGTAGCTGTGCTTCCATCAGTTGCCATTCCCATGACATTGGTCACCACAACTTATCTTTCATTAAGAGAGAAATGGGGTTGATACTAGAAAACTATTTTCTATATACACATAAACTGACTTGTTAGCAGACACCAACCATTACTTTTGACTGTTAGAATTCATTAATGCTTACATCATCTCTCCCTCTGAACTTTCTTATGGATAGAAGTTTATTACTGTATAGGTGCAGCTTACTTTACACAACTTAAGAGAACAGTTCGTTCTTGAAATTATCTCCATGATCCATATGGAACTCTTCTAGTACTTTGATAGTTCTTGTACTCTGACAAGCACTTATTAAGAGAGCTGGACTGACCACCAAACTTTTTAATGGAAGCCACTTATTGTACTCTCACAAGTTGATGGCCAGGCCTGATTAGGGCTCCATTAGATTCCTGGAATTTTAGGTGTAGTGTTCTCCACTTGTAGACTATCCTATACATGCTGAGCCATTGGTCGAAAAATACAGCCTTGTTTATCTTGCTGCTCAGCAAAAGGCATTTCACGTAAGTGACTAAATGATCCAAAGGCAAAATAAATTACTTATTCATCTCTTCCAGGATGATGTCCAGGCAGAAGCATCAGTAGCAATCCTGTGATCATGAGAGGACCAGGACAGTCCTGTCAATTCGCTGAATACAAGTGTGACTGCATCACATACCTAAATGTGTGGGTTATTGACTATTCCATAGCTGGGTTTGAGCTTGACATAATTTTGTGTGCCTGAGTAGGACTTCCTCCCTCGTGACTGGTTGGAAGTTCCTACTACTTGATCAGGCTCGACCAAAAAGGGGGGGGGCAAAGGGGGCAACTGCCCAGGGGCCCGGGTGAATGAAACCTGGTTATGCAGTAAAGCCCGCAAAGCATCTTTAGGCTATATCTTTATTTAATGATAAAAAACATAGTTTTTGGCTTTTCTTTGCATATAGACACTTGATACATTAAGAACGACTGAAATAATAATTTGAGTAATAATTAATATGTATTTGTTACTTTACAGATTTAATAGATATTTGTTGTTACTTTATTAACGTTTTTACGCTTATACTGTGAGGTAAAAACGGCTGCTGCTATGATTTTTTATGGTTTATGAGCTCGTTGCTGACCTAATTTAGTATCTTCTTTTTAATAAATTCTTGAAAATTTTTAAAAAGAGAGAGAGAAAGGAGGCCCAGCAAGGATGTTTGCCCCGGGGGCTGTGCTGGCTCTCGATTTTCCTGTACTTGATACTTTATCTCTAGAGAAACTGTCTCCGTAAAGGTAGAAGTATCTTTCACACCAAAGTGCTGTTCATTGTTTTACTGGATAGCCCTTCCACAAACTTGGCAACAAGACTATCTTCACAATCCTCTGAAACCATTGAACCATAAACTTTATCATGTGAATGGCACAGCTCGTGCTTAAATGATGAAGTTCTCTGTGGTATCCTTCTTTTGAACCTTGTACTCATTGGGATGGATTGCTTTATTTCCCACTGGATTTAACATCTCATAGAACTCAGCAATGACTTCTCACAATTCAAGTTGTACCTCACTAAAGTGCTCAATGCATTCTTGAGCCAGACCATTCACACTCACTCAAGATCAGGCATTGTACAACCTGCTCTGGAATTCAGCCTTTTCAAACAGTTATATGCCTGAAATGTATCAGGAAATGGTCCAACACCTATTTTGCATCATTCACTGGCACCTGTGATCAAGGCCTGAACCTACCCTCCTGAACTCTGGCCATTACCTGATTTAAGATGTCCTTGATATCACAGTGCAGTATTGTAGGCATGCTCAGGAACTCTGACTCTTGGAGAAAAGTTGATCCCTGATCCAGGGCATAGAACAAAGAGTTGTCATTGACTGCCTCTCCATCAAGCTCAGTGTAACTCTAAGCTCCTCTATGATCCATGGTTGTCCTGTCATTATACATCCCAGCTTAAAGAGACTCACCACTTCCCCCATGGTTCATCACCTTCACCATTTGGTGCCTACCTACAAGTGAAACAGCTGTGGTTGGTGGACCATGTCTACCAATTGCTCCATCAGTCTTACTTGATCATTCCTAGGTAGCTTTAATCAAAGCTTGAGCTGGTTTACTTTGACTTTCAAAGACCTGGGAATCTTAATTGACTACCCTATTCAGTCTTGGATTTGCCCAATGCCATAACACTGATATGATCCTCAGTCTTTCGTGCTTCCCTCATCTTGAGGGCAGTCCTCAGGGGAAGAGCATAAACAGCTGTTTTAGATGCACCAGACATTGATGGCTTTCCCTATTGAGTTGTTGGCTGCAATAGGTAAAAAGTTATGGCTTTACAGCATCAGAAAAAAGTCTTGTATCCAAGACTTCTCCTACTCTCTTTTTCAGACAGCTGTCTTTCTTCAGTAACCAGTTCTTTCTTTTGGTTCTAATTCACTCGACTTATTAAAAATACTTTTTTCTCAAGACTGAAACCTTTTCAAACTTGAATAACACAATAGTAAGGGTAAAGGTCAATCAATACACACCTAAGCAAAAAAACTCCGCAACAAAGTATTTTGGTTATTGCAGAAAAAATTTCTCCTTTTTATCCATTCTGTGGTATATTCAGGTCAAACTTACTTCCCTTAGAGTAACATAGTAAGTCCTCAGAATAGTGGAAGATTTGAACAAAATATTTATTATGAAGTAATACTGAGTAAGTCTGTGAAAGGTAAAAAAAAAAGAGTTGCAAGAGTTCAAAATGAAAATATTACTTATAAACACAAGTATGAATCTGTTTAGGTTTCTGTCAGTGGTTATAAGGAGAAACTACTCTTAGTTGAAATTCATTACACACCACCAGATGCAACTGATGAAATTAATAAGAAACTCTACAGGTAGATAAAGAATTCAACTGTAAATGAAGGTTATAATTATGGGAGAATTTAATTTCAAGCACATAAACTGAGTGATGTTGGCATTAAATCATGAGGGTGACAGGTTTTTAGAAACTCTTCAGCATGTTTTCCTTCAACAATTGGTTAGGGAAGTTACTAGGAACATTATTATTTTAGATTTATTGTTAATTTCTAATAAAGAAATGGTTGAAAGGTTGAAGTTGGGAAACATCTGGGTAGAAGTGATCATTCCTCAATTTGATTTAATGGGCATAGCACAGATAGTTTCTTGTGTAGCTTTGTGCTTAACAACAAACAGATAAAGAATAACTTTATCATTGTTATGTAAGAAAAATATCTTGGTATTCTTATAGATCATTCTCTAAAAGAGGTTATAATATCATTGTATAGGTCATTGGTTAGGTCACCTTTGGGATATTGTGTTCAGTCTTGGGATCTTTACCTCAGAAAGGACATTGAATTATTGGAAAGGGTTCAGAGGAGGGCTACTAGGATGATACTTGGGATGGAATGATTATCATACAAAAATAGGGTAAAGTCTATGAACTTCTTATCAATTGAAAAAAGAAGAGTTTATTAGAGGGATTCTGATTGAGGTGTTTAAGATTGTTAAGGGAATTAATAATGTTGATGCATTTAATGGTGAGACAAGGGGTACAAACATAATTCTGGCAGGAAAGAAGTCATATTCAGCTGAGAAGGCTATATTTTAGTAACAGTATAGTTGGCTTCTGGAACTGGTTACCTTCAAATGTAGTGGATGCAGTTAATTTAAGGGAGATTGAGAGAAAGCTTGATATATATTTGAATCATGAAGACTGGTTTTTAAGGTTTGTTTTTGTTTTTAATGTTTTAGTTTAATTTAGTGAATAGGATAGTTTAGATGGACCAAAAAGCCCCTTTCTGCCCTTTAATGTTATGTACTTGCTTGACATAACAGATGATTGCTTTCTGGATAAAACTACTTCCTCTCCAAACTAATTGTCTTGATTGAGATCCTATTCCAGACTGACCAAACCTTACATTATTTAGTTATATTGTAAAGTCACTTTTACCCAGAGTGACCAGCATTACCCACGTGGCTGAGCATCCCAATTCAAATATAAAGGAGGCTTTAATGGCTAATTTCAAAAATTCTATATTAGAACAAGAAGGTAGAAAATTTATGATATGAAAACATACCCTAAATGTACATCTATATTGTAAATACACCTATTCAACAAAATTGAAACAGGTCTGTCAATATAATGACAGTTAAATAAGAATGTGGAGCTTTCCTAGTGGACTTATAACCCCTGTTGTAACTATATCTAAATTTTTATAAGTATAATTTTTTTCATTTCAGTGTGCAATACAAATCCACTAATATCAGACACAATTGATGCACGCCATTATTGTGAAGGCGTATGCCGTACTCCATGCAGGTTAGTGTTACCTCCAGGTAATTCCAGTAATGTATTGGTGTTGGAATTGAAAAGCTGTTTACAAAAGCAAAAAATGAATATATGCTATATTTATATAGTAGATGAGTGTGAAAGTTATAAAGTCAGAGTTTTTTATTACCACATGCTGTGTGAAACAATTTAGAAATTGTTCAGAAATTTCTGACTTAGGTTCATTGTTTAGTAGGTATTGAAGCTAAATGTATGTGGAATTTAAAGATGCAGATTTGGATCAGTATCATTTAACATTAATAAAAGACTTTAATGTAAGTTCTGGAAGAATTATTGCTAAATTAGTCTTCTCATACATGATTTCTTTAACAATAAAAATATACTGAAACAATAAAGTAATTGATCTATGTAATACTGAAAGTTTGTTCAAATATATATATGTAGATGTAATTGATTATAGTCTATTTATCACAGCTTCAATTATTAATATTTTTATAAAATTGCAAATATTATTCTTACTTTTTCCCCAAAAAACTGACAATGTTTTTTTTTCTTCAAAAATGTGCATGTTTTTTTGTTACATTTTTGGTACAATTATTTAGATCTAGAAATCATAAATTTTAAAACAACTTTAACAGAGAAAGCATAACCTTGAAAATAAAATTGAAAAATAGCACACTGTTACTTTGCATTTTTATTTTTAGCAAGTAAAATACTTCTTTGTTAGTGTTTGAAGGTGGGTGGAATCCCATCCCATTTCTTTTCAGGAGGACCTGAAACCCTCCCATTACCTTTTAGTAAACTTGATACCACCTTGGTACTTCTACAGTTGCATAGAACTGTGCCAAATATCTTACACTCTCTTTATTATTCCTTTCATACCAGCATGGGCAGCAATGTACAACACAAAGTGAAAATGAAACAAATTTAGTCAATAAAATATAAAAATTCAAAGTGCTTATTTCTAGCAGATACGTGTTGCCATAATCTAAACTTATATTCAAACCAATTAAGCTCTCTTTTCTTTTTCAAATTCAAGAATTTTACAAACTGTGTTTTTTTATCGGCTTCAAATATTTCACAAATCATCCCACTTCTTCTTCTTCAGCTTCAAGCACTGTGTATCAGAAAAATTTTAGGTTACGTGTGATTAATGAAAATCTTTTCTATACATAGTGTATTTGATAAGTTTATACAAAATATCAATTCAAATTAATAGTTTTTGTGCATCTATACAATTCCAGTTAACATACAGCTGATTATACTGTTGATAAATACAGGGGTTCGATAAGATGTTGGAAACACCTGCTAATTTGTACGTTTGACTTATTAATATGGACTTGATCCTCTGCAAGGAGACAATACAGCATGAAAATGATGTGGAATTCATAAAAAAAGGTGTTGTGAATCAGAATATGTTTTTTTTTACAATTTCTTATAATTGTTGAAGAGATGTTGATGGTTGAAATCTTCTTGGCCATCATGTATCGGGCTGAGAGATCACCTCTTTCCTGTTAGGGAGATTGTCTCTATGATTATACCCACCCATTTACACTGGTGGAACTTAAGACTGCTCTTCATCAGTCTGGCAGTACATCATTTGGAGCCTAGGATGTTCACTATGAAATGCTGTGCCATCTCTCTCCGGCCTCTCTTGCTCTTCTGGTTGCTTTTAACCAGATTTGGCAGGAGAAGATGTATCCTGATGCTTGGTTCAAGGTTATTATCCTTCTCTTTTCAAAGCCTGGGAAGGATCCCCAGATTCCTTCTAATTATTTTCCAATTGCTTTGACTAGCTGTCTCTGTAAGGTCTTGGAGAGGATGGTTAATGCTGGTCTGTTTAGTTCCTTGAATCAAACAACCTCCACTCACCTGCCCAATGTGGTTTTCATTGACAGTGCTCTACCATGGACCACCTGATTCATCTTAAAACCTCGATCAGGAAACATTACTCAAGAGAGAGCATCTTGTTTTTGTCTTTTTTTATATTGAGAAGGCTTATGACATTACATGGAGGTTTAGCATTTTGTGGGACCTACGTTTCTATGGGTTGTGTGGCCATTTGCCCATTTTTATTCGTAACTTTTTCCTTGACAGGCGATTTCAATTCTGTGTGGGTTTGACCTTGTCCCGTTCTTTCACACAGGAACTTGGAGTCCCTTAGGATTGTGTCTTGAGTGTCATCTTTTTCAGTATCAAGATTATGCTATCACTAAACATCTTCCTCCTATTGTTTCAAATGGTATCTATGTTGACGACTTCCACATTTCTTGTCATTCATTGAACATGAGGATTATTGAGCAGCAGCTTCAGACTTCTCTTAGTCATTTGTTGAGGTGGACCACAGCAAATGGTTTCACTTTCTCTTCTTTAAAAAACCAATTGTGTCCATTTTTGCCACCAGCAGGGTATACACTCCAATCCTGAGCTTCATCTCGGTGATGGTGTTGTTCCCATGGTACCTGAGACAAAGTTCTTGGTACTTCTGTTTGACTGCAAGCTGACTTTTATTCCTCACATTAAGCAGCTTTGTGTCAAGTGTATAAGGGCACTGAAAATCCTCCAAGTCCTCTCATTCATCTCTTGGGGAGTGGATAGATGTTCCATGCTCAATATCTAGCATGCCCTCATATGATCCAAGCTGGACTGTGGATCTCTGGTCTATGGTTCTACCAGGTCATCTGCCTTGAAGATGGTGGACCCGGTGCACCATCTGGGGCTTTGGTACTGCACGAGGGCTTTCAGCACTTCACCAGTACAAAATTTGTACACCAAGTCCCATGAACCTCCTCTTCACCTCTGACATTTGCAACTTTCTTTACAATATGCTACCAAGCTTTAATCCTTACCACAGTATCCCACCTGAGGTTGAGTCTTCCTTCCTTAGTAGACTGTGCTCTTTTTGGAATAGATAGTCTGCCTTTCCTTCTTTTGGCCTGTATATCCAGACACAGCTGGCTGAACTGGGTCCACCATTGAATAATGTTGCTGAGTCTGATAATTAGTCCATCCCCACCTGTGACCTTTCTTTGAGTCATCTGAGGAAGGCAGATACTCACGATTAGAAGCATCAGCTTCTGTTTGCCAAACATCTTTAGAACCATTCTTCTGTTTTGTTTTTATGGATGGTTCGAAATAAGATGACTGTGCGGGCTCTGCCATAGTTTGTTGTGGCTCTGTGGTTGCTCCTAGGATTCCCTCTACACTTTCTGTGTTCACTGCTGAGTTGTATGCCATATTGCCTGCTTTGGATAACATAGAAGCTAAGCAGTACACTAACTGTTCTATTTACACTGACTCTCCTAGCTCTCTACTAGCCCTGGAACTGCTTAATGTCAGTTCTCACCCTATTCTCTTAGACATACAGAAATGACTGGCTCAGTTTTCTCTATCATTCATTTATATTTAGTTCTTCTGGATACCTGGCCATATCTGTATTCTAGGAAACAAGCATGCTTACACCACAGTTAAATCTGTCTTCTCTGGTGCTCTCACAGCTGTTCCTGTTCTGTATATGAACTATAGTCCTAAGATCAAGGTCTTGCTTTGTGCCAATTGGTAGTAGATTTGGTGTCAGCAACTTCATAACAAGCTTTTCCAGATTAAACATATAGTTGTTGTTTGGCCATCTAGTTTCTATAAAGATTGGTGGGAGGAAATTTTCTTGACTAGGCTATGCATTGTTCCCAGTATTTTAACTCCTCATTTTCTTTTATGTGGAACTGATCTGCCAAGATGTGGCCTTTGTGACACTCAAGTCACAACTGTTCATGTTTTACTTTCACGTCGTCATTACGACTGTGAGCGGTGGCACCATTTTAGACATATTTTTTCTAATTGTTTATCCCTGACTTTAGACAGTGTCATTGGTGATGGTGATACTGTCCAGCTTTATTGTGTTTTTAACTTTTACAGGCCATTGGCTTTTATAAAATCTATATGAGTTTTTACCTGATTTTTGGACACTGTTTAGCTTTTAACTTGATTTCTTTTTACTTTGTATAGAGTTTTACTTTTTGTTTTTATTTTTATGTTGATTGTTTGGCATAGATATCTTCATTGCTTTGCCCCAATATACCCCAAAAACCAATCTTTCGGTCAATCTTGAAAGAGGTATACACCTGACAACAAATCTTGTTCTTCTTGGATCTTGCTCTGACTACATTAATACATTTTCATGGCTAACTGATCAGATTGTTACCTGTGATGTTCCCATTTCTGTATTTATGGCGTGTTAGATCCCACTCTTGTCCCCATTTTCTTGTAATAATAATTCATGATTATGTGGCAGCTAAGCATCGGTAGAATTATCAATGTACTGCTGTCTATGATGATGATGATGATGTTCCCAAACACCTTATAAGTGAATTTAAGTTTACATCTCACAAAATTCACCATTTTAGTACCTGTTAGAGGATATTCTATGGGCAGGTACATGGATGAATCTGAATACATACTTAAATTCCTATATTCATTCCATTGCTGTCTTTACAGGTTTGGAATCATGTTTGATTCCTGTTGTGATTAATCAGACTAAATGGAATCTGTAAGAGTTGAGCTTTTCACTGTTACCTGCTTACTTACCACTTGGGTTCCACACACCTGTGTTATGCATGGTGACTAGGGTATATATGTATAAATATGCTTCTGAAAACACCCCTATTTTACAATTACTGGTACAGTTGAAGTTCAGAAGCCATTCAATTTAAAAAAGAAACCAAGAACTGCCTTTTATAATAAGGATTATCTAGTCAGAATTTTCAAATGTTGTATTTACCTCTGACTGTCCTAGAAAACTTTACTCTTTGCACTTGTGCTTCAAAAAATGGTGATGCACTCCAGCAGTGGACAGAGGATGCCAACTGATGGCTAAAGATACCCAATGAATAAGTAGATTTTGTAGTAATTTTGCACCTGCTGTTGTGAAGTATTTTGTGGTATTGTATGGATTCAAACCCAACTCACCAGCTATGAAATCCAAAGCTCTGTCAAAGCCAACTTCTGCTCACCATGAATATGACATGTAATGTCATCACGACCATAAACTCATAAATTATCTGTCAGGTAGGCAATCTTTGACCTTCAGCCCATCTGTTAATCTAGTATAAAAAACGTGGATGTACATTACAAGTCTGTAGTAGTAGAAATTCATTAGTTTAGAAAGTGGCACATACACATGAATTGAGTAATGTGGAATGGTGACTTCTACAATAAACTGCAACTGAGAAGTGTTGATTAATTGGAAAGTTTAAATTAATGACCTTATTACTTCTCAGATTTGAAACTATTGACAATATTTTTTCTAAATACATTATTTTTATTTTATACTCATTTGGCATTTTATTAGGTGAAAGAATATTAATAACTAGAGAACATACCTCTGCCACACTGCATTGATCATATTCAGCCCTCAAAAAATATGAAAATGTGCCCATATGTTTGTTGTTATCAACAGACGTAGACCATTTATGACAGGACAATGAAGAATAATATTCAATATATGTCCACCAAGTTCCATCAAAATCTGATCATTTTTGATTGTGTTATAGAGCAAAAATAGTGTGAAAAATTGATCCCCATGTTAACAGATAAGGATTTTTTTTATTTTCATGATCTTGCTGTGACCTTTGACCCTTTAGAAACTAATCACTTCTAAGTTAGGTCATAGTCCAGAGACAATGACAGTAATAATAATAATAAGAACATGAAAATACATTTCTTTATAGATTCTGTACATCCATAGATCTAAACCCATTTACCTGCAATTGTTTTTCTGATACTGAATAACAAGCTCGTATTTTAATTAGGTGTTTTTTAATTGTTTATATTGGGCCAATAATGAACCAACATGTTGGTGCAACCAAAGACTAATGTGCAAACTGTCATTGAGCCAACACTGTTTACCAACCTTGCACCAATCTAACTGGCAAAATTAGACCAACATTGGCCCAATCTTGATATGTTATCTGAGTATGACTCAATAATTACCTTTTCCACTTCCACGTGTATCATCTTCCATACCATTTGAGACATTGGAAAACTTATCTTAACCTTAATTTGTGTTCACATCATACTGTCCAAGAGTTGTCTAGCTCATCCTTGGGTCTTAATGAGTCTTTTTGATTTTCCCTTGGTGCATACTGACTAGGGCTATTTTCAGATGAAGATGAAGGAGGCCTCAGTCCCACCTGCATGTCCAATCATTATTTATTATTGGTCTCATCTGAGAATCTTCCACTAAAGGTACAAGCAATGATGGAAATGGGTGTACACACGGGTACATGCCATATACCTAATTCTCAGTTTGCATTTTTTTTCCCATTGATTATTAACTCTATCATCACAGGTCAAAGGCCATGTCATTGCGTTTGTTGACTTACATTCAAAATTTTATTGAACTACTATTTTATGAATTTATGTCAATAAGTTTGGTATGAAATTGTAGACTATAATTTAAATTTTAGTATTATACATTAGTTAATTTCTTAATTTAAAAGTAAATATTATAAAAACACACCTAAATATTTGTGTTTCTCACGTGGTATGTTGAATGCAGCATTGATTCAGATTAGATGTGTGTGATGTCCAAATACAAAGTCTATAGTTTCTTACGAATTAGGAATTCAAATTACTGATATTGACAAGCTAGAATATAAACTAAGAACCTCCTATCTTTTCTATTTGCTTTTTTATACCTATCACTCCACTGATCCTTCTAAGCGTGTACCCACTTCCTAAAACCCATTTCCTTTCCTGAGTACAAGACCATGTTTTGACCCTTGATATGTGTTATTGTACTGCCTGCATGTCAGCACAGGACATACATGTCACCTGGCTCCCTTTACATATTATTTAAAGTGTGTCTAGGGAAATGAGTAACCCTGTTGAAATGAATGTTTTACTTGCTGAATGTCCAGGCTACCACGAAGCTTGTCCATTGACTTTTACACTGGTTATGGATTTAACTCAACCATGCTTGATCACATTTTTCACTTTTTGTAGTCTAGATTGTTATCTTCATGCATAAGAGATTAGTTCTTTGGTGAACTAAAGGTCAAGATGGCTCTCTCCAGTTCCATCCTCCATTTCATTTCATTGTGGGTATTTTGACTTTTAGTATTTAAGAAGTAAGTCTACCAGATTTGAGTTTTGCATTTTAAGAATTAAAATGAATTTCAAACAGTTACTTCCCTCTGAAATACATTTCCACTCACCTCCCAACAACTGAGAGATTTGTCATTTTCCATCATGACTGCAACTAAGAAATTTGTATTATAGCAGAAAAGCATGCTTTCCTGGACTTCAGTAGATCTCTTATCATAAGATAACTTCATCGAATCAGCAGACGTTTTCAAGTTTGAACGCACTTGATGGTGAATATCATCCATCCTTTCCGATAACACTTTCACAAACTCTGACCTTGTCTCCTGGTTCAAAGCTGGTTGTATAATCCCAGGAAGACCAAAGGGAAGTATCCTAAGTTGTCATCTCCATGGGAAGGCCCATATGACATAGTGGATCATCTCTCAGACGTGACTTTCTGGATAAAATGTGGTCGGCGAGGTAACCAAAAGTGGCGCATGCCAACAGGCTTTGGCGTTATCACGGTCCAGGACATTTCAGTTGGGACGAAGTGAACAATGGAATAAAAGACGCCACTGAAGACGTGTCACCTGGAATAGCCACTGTCGAAGAAGAAACTCTATTCTGTTTTGAGAAGGGAAACAGTGAAGCCCTTGATCAAGTTACTACCACTGATGTGATTATTACCGATAGTAGGACAA